ACTACAGGGAAGATCAAAGAACGTATGGTATCTTGGATACTTGAACGTCGTCCTTCATGTAGCCAAGTAATCTAGACCCAAACTTTGTAAGAACAAAACTAGAACATTGATTTGAATCCAGAAAGAAGCAATAACCAAGTGAAGCTATCCCAACAAAGGGTACTAGGGCATTTGCTGGAAATACATACATCTCCTCTGCTACCACATTCTTAGCCAAGTGCAAATTTTGGACTGTCCTTAATCTGCTCAATTTCTCATGACTCAAGCCTGGCTTCACAAGCTACTATATAAAAAGGAAATTGCTAATAATCCAAATTTGAATTTTCAAGTGTCACCACCACTAAGTCTTTCTTCTACAGGAATAGGTGTATCTGTTTCATTGGGAGAAACTAATATAAATCTCCTCCACAAAGGTAGAGCACTAAGACCAGGAGTGAAATCCAGCAGATTCTGACAGGTTCTGGAGAACTGGTAGCGGAAATTTTGAGCAGTTCAGAGAACTGGTAGCAGAAATTTTGAATAGTTCGGAGAACCGGCAAACACCACCTCTGGCTGGCCCCAGAGTGGGGAGGGAATGGGGATTTTGCAGTATTCTTCCCCTGGAGTGGGGTGGGAATGGAGATTTTGCAGCATCCTTCCCCTGCCATGTCCACCAAGCCACGCCCACCAAGCCAACCACACCCACCAAGCCACGCCCACAGAACCGGTAGTAAAAAAAATTGGATTTCACCACTGACTAAGACTAATCAGATAGTCAGGAAAAAGTTGGGTTATATTCCTTTGAAAACAAAAGATAGTTGTCACTCTTTACAGATATTAAAATAAAACATTTTAAAAATCAGTGGCATCTACTTTTAATAAAACAAAATAAATCTCTACCTCTCGTTATTATTATTTCCAGACAGTTAGAGCAATTAATCATTGGAACAACTTGCCTCCAGAAGTTATGAATGCTCGAAAACCGGGAGTTTTTAAAAAGAGATTGGACAACCATTTGTCTGGAGTGGTATAGGGCTTCCTGTCTGAGCAGGGGGTTGGACTAGAAGACCTCCAAGGTTCCTTCCAACTCTGTTATTCTGTATTATAGAATGATCCTCCAATTCAGCATTATTTTGCAAGCATGGAAACTCCAACATTCAATTACTGCCTTATTTGTTTCTAAGCCAATTGTTCAGATAAACATGCAACCCTTGAATGTTTGCAGGAAACATTTAGGGTCTACAGAACTTATTGCTAAATCCACTGCAAAAGAATACAAAGCTATACTAATTCTATTTCCCAATTAAAGGCAATGAGATTGGTTAAAACTGAAGACTTTTAAACCAGGGAAGAATTCCTTCCTTCCTGATAACTGTGGTAGAATTTTTATGGTTTTCTTTGCTAATACCAAGAACTTAAATCATTGCATGTCATACACAAATTATTTGGATTTCCAAAATACTTGCTTCTGAAATGTGAGAAATGACTCAAACATCAGTAAAATGTGTGGTTTTCCAAAAAGCTCTTTTCCCAGGCTCTCAATTGCCAGCTCAACACTGTAGTCTCAATGGGAAATGTAAAACAAAAAGTCACAAGCGAGCACAAAATGAAGTATTCTCTCCAAAAAGAAAAAATAGGAGTGCCTCTGATGCGCCTCACAATTGTTTTCTCATGGATTGCTATGTTAAATCTGTGTTAAAGTTATGACTCGTGACTAATTTCAAGACAATTGCCCCAAAGAGCATATGTATATGTATATGTATATGTATATGTATATGTATATGTATATGTATATGTATATAAAGAGAACGGGGGGAGAGAGGGAGAGTGTCTATTTATAGCTGAACATGGTGCTTGAAATAAATATCTAGCTCATATATTTTAGCTCAGAAATGTTTATTTAAAGTTAGGGTCAAATCATGTAACTAGACAATGTATACATACTATTCCCTTTTTCATTTTCTAAACGAATGTAAATTCTAAATGAATGTAAAATATAGATTTCCTGTCTCAATCAAGCCTAAATGGTTATGGGCCAATACTCCTTTTCGAAAGATACAGGTTACAGTGGCAGAGGGAAGAGAGGAGAGAGGTAGAACTCCTCCCAGGTAGAAACTACTTATTATACATGTTCCATATTCCTTCTTTTCATTTTCTATTTTATAAAGTGCCAAAAATGCAATTATGGCACACACAAAAAACCCAAATCAAGCAAATTTCCTGCTTTTCAAAAGATTTATTTCTGAAGTTTGTTCTTCCCTAAACTTCAATGAAACCTGCTATAAATGGTTACTGCTTAAGAATTATAGGATGAAACAAATTGTATTTTTCTAAAACAATGTGAACAAAAATAGCATTGTATCTTACAATTATGTTCTGTGTTTCCTCTAACAAGTTCAAACCTGTGAATGTGATTCACTTGCTCATACTTATATTCACAAGGAATTCAACGAGATAAGCAAAAGTTAAGGCTGAAAGTTCTCTCTATGAACTTTGTGGCTGTCATTTGAATTAGTCCTCATTTAATACTTTAACAGGGGACATTTTTGCTTTTTATACTCTGTACAAGTAGTTACTTGACTTATGATGGCAACTAGAAGTGGAATTCGCTAAGAGATGAGGTGATAACGTGTGACTGCATCACTTAGTAACAGGAATCCCTGTAGTTCTTACTATTGTTGTTAATCGAATCCCATGGTCGTTAGGTGAGGAAACTTCCACAACCAAATTAGCAGGGAAGCCTACTGGAAGTTTCAAGTCCCAGGCAGTTCATAAGCATGCCAATATAGGCAGCTCACAAGAGGGCCAGCAGCAGTGGTGGGTTCTGTGGGTGTGGCCTGGTGGGCGTGGCATGGCTTGGTGGGCATGGCAGGGAAAGGCTACTGTAAAATCTCCATTCCCACCCCACTCCAGGGGAAGGTTACTGCAAAATCCCCATTTCCTCCTGATCAGTTGGGACTTGGGAGGCAGAGAATAGATGGGGGCAGGGCCAGTCAGAATTTTTACTACCGGTTCTCCCAACTACTCAAAATTTCTGCTACCGGTTCTCGAGAATTGGTCAGAACCTGCTGAAACCCACCTCTGGCCAGCAGGCAAATAAGTGGCTGCTTCTGGGTGCACATGGGTGTGAAGGAGCTGTGATGATGCTTGGGAAAGATATGCAAGTGTACAAGGAAGTGTGACAATGTTCTATAAGGGTGCATGGGGATGCATGAATAGACAGTGCAGCATGAGTGAAGAAAAACTGCAGAAGGCTGCACTGATGGGGGAGACTTACCCCAGCAACTTGCAACCTTCCCTATTGGCTTCCCCATTTCTAGAGAAGCCAGCAGAGAAGGTTGCAAATGGTCATTAGGGGATAGTGGGGTGCTGCAACTTATAAGTGCACTTATAAGTGCAAATTGGTTGCTAAGCACTCAGATTGCAATCGTGTGACCAGAAGGGTGCTGAGACAACTTGAACGCCAATGACCAGTCATAAGCACCATTTATTCAGTGCTGTTGTAACTTTGAATGGTCGCTAAATGAATTGTCATAAATTGAGTACTATCTATTATATTGCCCCCAAATCAGTGGTGGGTTGCCCCCGGTTCGCATCAGTTCTATAGAACCGGTAGTAAAACCAGCGGGAGGCTCCGCCCACCGACCCTGACATCACCAAAACGCTTCTGCGCACGCGCAGAAAAGCGCACAACCCTGCTGCGAACAGGCAGTAAAGGTAAGTAGAACCCAACCCTGCCCCAAATCACAAAGTACTGATTTTTGCAGAGATCCCAAAAGAAAAAAGAAAAAGTAGTAGCAAGTACTTACTACTTTATATATTGTAAACAGAGAGGGAATAGAATTTATAGATCATCATCAGAGTGTTAAAAGTCTAAAAGAGTACAAGTCCACAGACTTTTTAATGGATTATCTGTCCATGCAGCATCCAACATTGCAAAACATCTTTGTTTCTCAAAAGGAACACCCTTCAGTATTTCCCTCTTTATTTCATCATGACATATTTGAACAATCTAGGGCTTCTTCTCTTGAAAACAAAACAGAATCATTCAGCTGTTTGACTAGTCACCTGAGAGCATAAAATAAATCAATTAAATGAGTGATTTCTGTATATGAAACCTATAGTGGCTATTTGAACAAAGTTGAATTAAATATGTAAAAACAAAATCAGAGCCCATCTCTATATGAGTAAAAAATATGCAAATTATGCATTTCATTGTATTATTTGTAATATATTTCATAAATTACAGGCGTCCTCCCTTAATTATGGTAATTGGGACCAGCAACTCTTTCACGCCCACTTATAATGGCAGTTGCAGCAGTTCCAGTGGCTGTTGTTACACAAATCCCACATGGCCGCAGTGTCCTGTGATCACGGGAATGCCATTTGTGATTTCCTGCCAGCTTTCCCATTAACTTTGCTTGTTGGAAACCAGCAGTGAAGATCTCAAAAGGTAATTGAGATCATGGGATAATGCAACCATCGTGATTGTGAATTGGCTGCCAAGCAACCAAATCAGGATGACATGACAGTGGGAATGCTGCAACAGCCACAATTACAAGGAATAGTTGTAAGTCCCCTTATTCAGCGCTGTCATAAATAGTCACTGAATAAGTGACTGCTGAATAAGGACTACCTGTAATTTCTAAGATTTCGATGTGGTTCCATTCCAGATTAGCTCTAAATTACTTACAAGACAAAGTAATGCACTGCAAATATTACAAAAACATAGAAAAAAACCAATATTATATTAAATAGCCATCTTCTTTCTAATATTACATTTGCAAAGTACCATATATTTTTCTTTTTTCAGATTTACTGAAACCAAAGATTGGAAATTATTTGAAGTCTGGTGACATACAAATTTAATAAATAAACTCTTAACAAATTGAGACTCCATCATTTCTAATGAAGGGCCACTGTTTGCCTTTTATAATTCAGGGATGTATTTTTATTTTTTAAACTAATTTCCCATTGGCATCCTAAAAGTTGTTTTCCAAATTAATAAAGATGCTACCAACCTGAAGTACATCTCCAAGATCTGCAGTGCTAATATCTGGATCTTCAGTGGTGTTAAAAGGAACTGGGGTGATTCTCACAAGGGTGAGTACTCTGGGCTCTGGATATCTCCATAACATCATTCCTGGATCATCCTCGGTTTCATTGTAAAACACAACTTCATAGGCACCTGGTAGTTTTTGTGTATCTATTAAATTGAGGTGAAATGGAGGAAGAAGAATAATTTACCCAAAGAATGTCCTAGTCTCGGAGAACAATGAAGTTAAAATAAATTAAAACAAGAAAAATTAAAATGAAATCCAAATTTTAAAAGCACCCACAAACTTAAAAACAAACGAACAAATGTCTGTATTAAAAATTTGTTAAAAATTATATATACATGTTGTTTACTTGTTGTTTACATAAATTTGCATCCTTACTTAGTTGCAATTTAATAATGCAAGTAATAATACTCAACTCTTTATGATCATTATTGGTTAACCTTTATACTTCTCAAACTTCACTTTTTGTTTCTTTTCTCTATCCACTCATACCACAACTCCCACACATTATAGTATTCCGTGTTCTCTCTTTCATTAAGTTCTAATGTTAGCTTATTCATTTCGGCGCACTCTAGTATTTTCCTGATTACTTGTTCTTCGGGTGGTAGTTTTTTCTCTTTCTAATACTGAGCATACATTATTCTTGCCGCTGTCGTTATATGTATAATTAGGTACTTCTTTTTTTTTTTCGTATTCTGTTTTCAGGATTTCCAGGAGAAAGATTTTTGATTAAAAATCGATATTGTCTTCTATTATTTCTGTAATCCATTTCCAAATCATTTTCCAAAATTTTTTCGCTTGGGGACAGGTCCACCAACAATGGTAGATGGTGCCTTGGTGGTGGCCACATTTCTAACAATTGGGACTCGTGTTGGGATAGATTTTGGCAATCCTGGCAGGGGCTAAGTGCCACCTGTACAGCATCTTATATTAATTTTCCTTATAAGCTACCGCCCTGGTCATTTTAAGGTTACTGTTCCAAACTGTGTCCCATTTGTTTAAATTTATGTTTTGTCCAATGTTTTTGGCCCATGCTATCATCTGATCCTTGACCACCTCTTCTACCATGTCGTATTCCAGCAAGTAATTATACAATTTAGCTAATCATAAAGAATTGTGCATTACTATTTGTAATATCTTTCAAATTATATCTAAGCAAAGATGCAATACTATGTAAATAATATGTAAATAACATGTATTTATATATTAACACCCTGGAACCGAAAAAGGTTGAATTGTATTACTATATTTCATAATAAAAAACCAATAATATTTGAAAAAAATAAAAAATAAAAATTTATTAAAAATTATCTAAAGAAAATTCAGTACTACAGATTAGTACAAAATTACTCCATAACTGCTGTATAATACCTGTATCTTGTATATACTGGAATAAGCCTGTTCGTAGATCATCTGAAGTATGTTCTGTTTTAGAAATCTGGTTCTTCTCCATTGAAAATTGTACTGGATATATCTGACTGGTCATTTGTCCTTGTATCTTGTCTTCTTGAACAAGGTAAGTTTGCAGAAGTTCATTAAGAAGAACTAAGCAGTTCAAATGTTCCTGTCCCCAAAAAACCTTATAACGAGAAAAATTATAGTGAGCAACTTGAAAAAAATTAAATACTTTATATCCACTTCTTTCCGGTAACTTAATTGTTAGAAAGTTTATTCTAGGACCTTTTTAGATTTATCAGAAAAACAGGTTTGTGCATCATAAAGGGTTTAAAAATTCAGACCCTGGTCCTGAGGGCAGAAGGTATTTATAAGTAGTAAAAAAAAAAAAAATTACTGCAAAAATCTTGAAACAGGATTTATTTTAAATATAGAGAAAAAGTATAAGATCTCTTAATAATGGTATGCATGAAATCTGTTTTTGTCTTTCCTTTCAATAAATAAATGATCAAATATATTTTGACTCATTTGTTTAATTGTGTTCTCTTTATCTATTTTTAGGATTTGTTTTAAGTCATATTGATCAGAAATACTGAAAATTTAAGAGTTCACAAACTTTAAAGCACTACTGTGGATGATTAATTTTATATCACCTACATACTTTAGTATGTCATTTCCCATCTTTGTTTCCTATATATTATTTCAATTTCAACTCAGGTATCTCCAGTCAGTCTGGGGATTAGATTGAAGGATTATGGGATTATATACACTGTTAACAACATTATGCATCTATTCTGACAAGCAAACTAGGAAAGGAAAACATCGGAACTATCTATCAGAAAAACAAAATTGTCTAACAACTGTTCATTTCCTCAAGTTTTCATTTCTCTCCCAAGACAGACGAGAAGTCATATGACACAGAGTGTTTACATACAGCTGTAGTTAAGTAATGATACAAACTGCTAATCCAATGGGTTTATATCTTTCAAATCAGCTAACCCCTGCCATTCTGCAGCTAATTTTAGAGGAAGGAGCTGCAGACTGAACTGTGTAATGAAATATGAAAAAACTAAGTTCTGCTCTTCAATGGAAAGGCTCCTTCTGTAGGGTGGCACACTTACCAATAGCCAGTTTTGGAATTTTTAGAGAGAGAAAAATCTGGAATTGTGACTACGACATCAAGCAGCAGTAGTAAGTATCTGTATTTACGATTAATGTGTTCTTTTTTTGTGCACTCTAATTGCAAACAATTTTAGGACTCTATTTCGGCTAAAAGTAGAACAGAAATAGTCATCGGGAGAATATGCTACCAGTGTCTGGTCATCTGCCATATAACAATTTTCTGGTTTTATTTTCAAATGGTCTGAAGTTATTACGTAGAAGGAATATAAAATTATATATAATAAGCAATCCTGTGAAGTCATTTCCTTTGAATGTTTTCAAAACAGTTGAAATTCAGATTACAAGACTGAAATTTACTTAAAGCTATAGGGGAAAAAATGATAGACATAATATATCCTGCTCAGAAAAGGATCTTGTTAATAAGCCATAGAATATTTCTAAGGCACATAGAGAACTATATGTCATTTCCACATAGTAAGATAATAAAATACACTAAGATTTCCTTAAATCTGAAGAATTTTCTCTAACTCAACAAAACTTTCTCTTGTCCATACTCATTCTGTCCACAATTTCAAATGATTTTCTACATACAGACCTGAATCAGTCCGCCTCTTATATCAATACAGACTTTTGGAGTAACCAGTTCGGGACCAGGATTCCCGCTATGTTTACACCATTTGGCTTCTATGGTGACAGAACCGCACATAGGTCCAACCAGAGTCCTGCTTTTCTCCTGAAGACTTGTCTTGACAAGGAAATCATTGATGTCAAGGGTAAGTGATGATTTATTAATTATACCTAAAGTAAGCGTAAAAAAACTACGATTAATTATGCATAAAGTATATGTTGCTTTTTCTTTTCAAGAAGTAAAATATTTACTTTTAAAGGAATAACTTACATAAATATGTACAAATCGTATATATTTAATGCTTTTACAACTAAAACATTATTTTTTTCGCCAGTCAATTATAATTTTTTTTGCATTAACTCATGTATTAATATGTAAAAAGGAAGTTCTTTTAATAAATTCCATTGTTTATACTAAAGAGACGTTCAGGGAATATAGCAAACAATTTGGCAAAATGTGAATTAGTATTTTAATTAATAAATGAATTTAAATTGCTAATTGTCTATTAAATTGTTACCATGCTAAACATAATTATTATATGAGAAAATAATTATTATATGATCAACGATGAAATATGAACATGCAAATGAGAGGGGGGGAACTATATGACTGGGAGAGGAAATCACAAACACAAAAGAACAAAAAGCACATGTTCTAATAACACTTAAATGTTTGAATAGTTCAAATAGTTGAATGAACTATGTTTGTTAAGAGAATTAACAGCAAGAATCCTTTTTCCTTTTAGAATATTTAGTTTCTGGGGATTTTTCCCCAGAAAAAAGAATAAAATTGAACAGCAGAATACAAACATGGAGTCCTAGAGCTATTTGAGTAGGATAATTCAAAAGACTGACCAGATTATAAGAAAATTAATAAGAAATGCCTTGATGCACTACATTAAAGATAAAGGTATTTATTTATTTATTTATTTATTTATTTATTTATTTATTTATTTATTTATTTATTTATTTATTAAACAAGTTTTAATGCCACCACAATCAGAATGATTCTTGTCACCTTATAACAAGGCAGAAATCATTTCTTACTGAGAAGATTATTGATTCTCATTCAAGCTTGCAAAAATCACTAGATTATCTTTCTAAAGAAATGTTTAGATGAGTCAAAAGTGGAAGTTTTAGAAATTAGAGGAAATGGTCTGTTTCCTTATTGTAAAATTTGAAAAGTAGCTATTATGCCAAGAATAATTTTTTATAACAAATTGAATTAATGATCTTTAAAAATAAGCTTTCTGTAACATAATGTGACAGCAAATTTTCCTATGGTAGAAAGCAACAAGCCTAATAATTGATTAGTCAATTGCCAAAAACAAGAAATTGTTCAAACTATATCACCCATCCAAAAGGTGATAATTTATAGTCTTCGGGATTCTGAGTATGAGAAAAAAATATTAATATTTGAACACTGAGTTCATTATAGAGTCCACATTAAATATACAGCATATGCTGTATGTCTATAATATACAACATAAAATGTTATAAATATAAAATGTCAATAAACAATGTAAAATTGCATGATGTCTTCATAATTATCAGTTTAAAAAGGAAACTACTGTGTTTTAAAGCTATTGAACCAGCTATATAAATGAATAATTATATGAATTTGATAGGCAATTTTATTTACCATTAAAGTATAATCTTATGTTTTTATGCCAGTAGAAAAAAACAGTGTGTCCTGTGATCTCCACTGTACCGATACTTTAAGCTTTGTTATTATTAGTAAATGAATATATATAACATTTTCAATAACAGTAATTATATTCTGGATCCTAAGATTTAACACTGCTAAGGGACTTGATTTAGCTGTGATACAGTAGGTTGATTCTATAGCTCTGTACTTGCAGCTTCAAAGAGGAAGACTTAAAGATGGAATGTGGTGTGTGCAAAGATCATTTCCAGTTGTTTGCATAGCATTTAATTACAGATGAACATTTACTCTAAAATGGGCAATTGTCTATCTTCTATTTGCTAAGTATACTTTGTGACTTCAATAATTTCTTCAGCCAACTGATTTATGTATCATACACTTACAGTTAAAAATAAATCCTTTCATAATTTATTTACAGTTTAAAACATTATGAACTTCACTGCTAAATTTGGTGGAAAATATTTATTTTATGAAAAGTATTGTTTTAAAATTAGAGACTCATAGTCCAGTTCTAAGTCTTTAAAAAATCTTTAATTTCCTCTCTTATACTTACGACAATAAATTGAAATGAACCGGACTTCTCAGCCAGGGGTCTCCCCCCCCCATTCTAACTATGGTGCTCATATTTGGAATTGTCATTGTGAATATTGAATTTCACTATGCTTAATTTGTAATGCCTATGGCTTATTTTTCTAAAGAAATTTAATATTTATAAAAATGAACTAAAAATACATCCAGGGTCTACAACAGGCAGCTGTTTCATAGAACAGGATCTCCGAACCTGTGATTCAACTGCCCCAACTCCCCAATCCCTCTATAAGTCAGAGCCCTATCCCATGTGTGTAACATAAAAGCATTTGCATCAACTGTGTTGGGGGAGAAAAGAAGGAAGATTTACTTATTAATTTCTTTTAGAAATTAGGAAAACGGCCTGTTTCCTTATTGTAAATTTTGAAAAGTAGCTATTATGCCAAGAATAATTTTATAACAAATTGAATTAATGCTCTTTAAAAATAAGCTTTCTGTAACATAATAATGTTTATGAGTTCACAGAACAAATACTTGCTCAGTTCTTTCACTGAATTTGATAATAATGGAAAAGTTTCAGAACTCAAGATAAGTGTTACCCAGGTCCTGCTGTCAACTCAAAGCAACACATGTGCCCAAAAAACACATAGAAACTACTTCATAAACTATTGTGCACAGCTAATGCAAACCTTAGAAAAGATATTTCTTAGCGGGGAAGAGTTTCCAAGTAAACCAGAAGAAAGGTGGATTATAGCCTATTCTAATAGGTATCCAGAGAGTTTTTCAGTGTCCCACCCGTTGCTTGTTTAAGCAATCTCTCCCACTCTGCAAAGGTGAGGGAATGGAGAAAAGGAAAGCATAACCATGGTCATGTGATTTCTCACCTAGTAATCACTTTGCTTAACAACAAAGCTGCTGGTTTCAATTATGGTTGCTAAACGAGGTTCATGGAATAACTGCCTCTTTATTTTTTTTCAAAATCTGTCTTTGCAGTCCTGCCCCATTGCCTCATAGTTACACCTAATGGCCTCAATGACTTCACTAGGCACATGATGTATTATATCCAATGAAATACACAGCTGCACTAGACAATCACATGTATATTCTAGTTTGCTTACAGTATATTTATAAAAAAGGACTGTTACCTCACCCCTCTTTAGGCCTGTCTTTGCCTCTGGTGCTGTCAATTGATGCTTCAATCTAATGTGGTTTTCAGTTAAAAAGCACCCCTAACATATTCTACTACAAATGCAGATAATCTTATGGCCATTCTGTTTTTATCACTGTAGCTTCATGTGACTATGAAACTAAACACCGAGTTACAGTAAAATGTTCTACTACAAAGTCTAATCTTTTTTAACCAGAGACACCTACCTTTAAAATTAACATTAATCTCAAAATTACTCTAATTTCAGTTTAAGACAAGTTGATGGAATATTTTTGTCAAGTAGTATGAATTTTATTTATGCCCAAATGATCCATAAAGAAAAGGTTTCCATGAATTTGAAATGAAGATCATTTATACTGTCAGAAGCAACTACAGGCAATCCTCGACTTACAACAGTTCATTTAATGACCATTCAAAGTTACAACGGCACTGAAAAAAGTGACTTATGTCCATTTTTCACAGTTGCCATCTTTGTAGCATCCTGACAATCAGTGCTGGGTTGCCCCCGGTTCGGACCGGTTCACAAGAACCGGTAGTAAAACCAGTGGGAGGCCCTGCCCACCGCACCGGATGTTGTCATCGGCAATCTGCGCATGCGCAGAAGCAAGGCGCGCACGAGCTTTTTCTTGTGCGCACAGGCAATCCCGTTGCGAACCGGTAGTAAAGGTAAGTAGAACCCATCCCTGCCGACAATCATGTGATCAAAATTCAGATGCTTGGCAACTGCTTCATACTTATGACCATTGCTGTGTCCCAAGATCGTGTGATCACCTTTTGCAACCTTTTGACAAACAAAGTCAATGGGGAAACCCAGTTCACTTAACAACCAAGTTTCTGACTTCTCAACAGCAGTGATTCACTTAACAATGGTGGCAAGAAAGGTCGTAAAATGGGGAAAACTCACTTAACAAATGTTAACTCGCTTAACAACAGAAATTTTGGGCTCAATTGTGGTTGTAAATCAAGGACTACCTGTATATTGAAGTTGCACAATTTAAAAAGTATACTTTTAGTATTACTAAGAGCCAAAATTCTTCCTCAAGGCCATTATAGCTTTATTTTTCAGCTGTTCTGTTTCTCCTTTAGGACGAACTAAATTTTGCAGCTGAAATCACATTGCACCAAATGAAAGGATTGGAAGTTGGACAGGGGCTGAGATGCATAGAGAACAAGGCTTTACACACTACAGGAAAAGGTGCTGAAACATGAATGGAAACTATCAGCATACCCCAGAGGCTAACTGTAGGATCTCTATGCATCTGCATACAGTATACAACTACACTGTACAAGATGAATTCCCATGGTTATTGTTATTGTTAGCTAGAAAAGGTGGAAAAAAAGTTTAAGGACATTTCCTTTCTCCCTACCAATATATAAAGCTTTGACAGAGCTCTCCAAGGATACTCCAAGGATACTCTGAATTGTAGAATATTAGTTTGCTTTTAAGCAATCTAATCATTTCCATCATTGCCGTGCTAGCTCACAGAATCTATTTATTTATTCCCAAATCTGTTGCTATCCAAAGCTTACAATTTTCTTCATGGATACCATGCAAGTTAACATGTTGTTTTGCTGAGCACTTGCATGTTTTTTTCAAGAGAAGAACAATTTGGTCAACTATTCTGCAATTAAAAAAAAACAAAACAGTCCTTCGGGAGGCTAATAAAAATGGTTAGATGAGATTTACAAAATATTGCCAGCCCTTGCATTGTGAAGGTCCGCTTTGATCCTTTATAGAGCTTGGATGTATCAATGTGTTGATGGAGAAAAGGCAATCAGACTCCGTTAAAATGGGGCTTCTGTATGTCATTATAAAGTATGGGATGCCATATGCTAGAAAGAAATAAGTAGGTAGTCTTTATACAGCTGGAAGTGATCTAGGAATGCTTGACAAATGTGCAGGCATATGATTGATACTAACCAGAAGCTGATTTGCATAGCAATTACTTGAAGCCAGAACTATTAACTTTTATAAACCACTATATAACTTATTTTGCTCTCAAAATATAATAGTGAAAGATGTAGCACAATGACAATTGACAAGGGCAAATAAGTAAAGACAACTATAAAAAAAAATCCCTCATTCCTGAGCAGCAAAATTCTAATGGTCCATATATTTTATGTTTCCCCCCAGGCTTTCTGAAGTGCTCCTGCAAGAAGAAAATCATTTTAAGCAGTCTTCTCCTTCCCATTTAGCTCCATTCTCTTAAATAATTATTTATAGCTGTATCCTGCTTCTTGGTTTATCTCCAACAGCTTCTTCTCTTGGACCAAAAAGATATGTCAGCTTCATTCTTCTGCCAATAGCTCCTTCTTTCTTGGAAACCTAAGAGTTGTTCTGTACAATTTCCAGCCAAACAGATTCAGTGTACTTATATATGTGTGGTTTGTGAATGAATGAACACGTGCATTTGCATTACTTTTATGTAATTTGAAACAAATTACATGAAGAAGGAAGGAAGGAAGATTATAGAAATTTTATTTAAAAAAATCTTCCTACAATATTACCTACGTACTTTGACTGGCAGTACTATTCAAAGAAAATTCTTGCTTTTCTCCTGTTATCTGACCCAGTTTGTAACCACATTTCTGTTTGCTAGGATGTTACTATATGGAAAACTTGCAGTCTGTCATGAATTAAAAACATTATTGGTTCAAACAAGTTATGTAAGAACTGCTACCCAATAATAATCTCTCAAATGTATGCATTGTGTCTGAATATGTAACCAAATCAATTAGGCTTCTTGCATTTAAATGGTCAGGATTATTATTTTTTTTAATTAAACTCAAGAAATGATTCCACTAACATGGTTAAAAAAACATTTTCAGATATTGAAAAGCATTACATAGTATCTTCAAAAATTTGAAGAGTACCAATGCTTTTGTCATCTTCTAGTTAGTTTAAAAACCCATTAGTAAGATAGTTACAAATGGAGAACTCCGGGTCAAAAATATTTAAAATAGTGGATTTTCGTCTATTGACAATCACTGACAATTAGTTAGTAAGTTATAATGAAATCTGCAGAATGGTATGTAAATCTGGTCGTACAGTTCTTCCAAAAGCATTTTAGTTTCGTTAACTGAAGAAAGACAGATATTTTGGGTGCAACATTTGGGCAAATCTATTATAATTTCTATGTTTGTTATTCTACCCTTTTGCCTCCATCCTCCAAGCACCCTGTTGAAACCTTAGTTGTCAGAAATCTTACTGGTTTAAGTTAAGGAGCTTGAAGCTTAGGTGAGAATGACTGGTTTTAAACCTACACAACAAATGTTTTTAATATGGATCTAGCATGATCTTATGGGTGTGTTTATATATGCAAGAGGAAAGAGACAGAGAAAACTACCATGTGTGTATGAAAGAATTGTTTCCTCTGTTTTTCTGAACAGTGTCTCTCCTGTAAACTCCTTGAAATCCTGTGTTTCTATTGAGATTTAATTGAAGGAGGTTTAATCGAGGTGAAGATCTCATGAGGGAATGCTTTTCAATGGGTTTTGGGTTTTTTGGCAATGGTTTTTTGTCATAACTAAAAGTGTTATTGCTTAGAGAAATTTTGAGAAATTGTTCATCTAATTTCTTTTTCTGGTAATTTGACAGGGAATTTTAAAAGGCCATTTGGGCTTAGGTCTAATCAGCGTGAGATTAAAAAGGAACACAGTACATTTTATGGTGACCTTCCTCCTGGATTTTTATTGGATTGTTATTATCCATCTGGTAATTAGGATTATCAGCCAATTTTCTCATCTCCTGCTTCTACTGGCAATTCTGAAGGTTGAGGGGGAATGAAAGAAGAATCAGTGTCAAAACAGCAAGGCTAATGAAAGAATCCTGCTGCTAATTTCCTTTGATTGCAAACTGCACAATTGAAAGTAATCAGCATTGTCACAGAAGAAGGTCACAAAGATCTACTTAATAAGATATTAAAAGATGAAAGAACGGATCTTGAAGGATGGCATTTTTGTTAATAAAAGACTGTGCAATGAAATGACCAGACTGTAACACCACCAGCAGCAAAACAATCAGGTTATATGAAAAAATTAGTAGTGATCAAACACAATAGACTACTGGATTTCTCATTTGTGTGAAACCGAGTTTGAGGAGAATGAACCGATCACTAGAGTACCATACTTCAACACTGTCAATTAACCAATCTTCACTGAGACTTTTTTAGCATTATACTGTATATGGCCTCATATGGGCACTGTAAAAATACAAGATGTGTTATCAGTGATAAACAGATATTAATGACCTTGAACATATCAAATCCTTGATTAAATGTATGTTCCTCCTGCATTACAGCAGCTTTGGCAGCCTGAACATATACTTTGTTTGAGTTACATCAAACACTAAACATTCAGGGATTTATATTACTTTAATCCACTGCAGGCAGTGCTTCATTTAATTTTATTGGCTGTGCTGGAGGTAGTGGATCTATTTGGGGGGCGGGGGGGGGGGAAAGCTCTTTTACGTATCTTTTCAAAAGGGCTTAATTATATTTTATAGCCTAGGCCAGGAGCCCTGCTTGTTTTCTGTCTAACAAGGTTCAAATGGAGTTCAGACAAGCGATGAATCAGAAGCAAAGTCAGAGATGGTTATCTTTATGAAATGAGCTCATCTCCATTTAGGAAAGGAGCAGGTACATCATGGTCAGTGCTGAATGTTAAATAATCTGGAAATCAGATGGTGGTCAGTGATCTGATAGTTTTTGATTTATAGTTTTGTATCTTCATTCAAAGCAAATATATCTAACCTAATTTTAAATATATATTGTCTTTTCAATTAATTGCAGCTTTATGCTTAGAATACTTAGAAGAATATTTAACCCTGTACCTATACCGGTAAAAATAGTTTATCAGTACCCCAAAACAAAGTAAAGAAGCAATTCAGAACTTTTAGTTATTATGTGAACCCAACATTTTAAACATTCTACCACGTTTAATGTGCAATAATCACAGAGTATATTCCATTATTACTGTATAAATTGCATTGGGTAGGTCATTCCATCTGAATATAATCTTTGCTCACACTTCCCTAAATTAACTGGCAAATGGAATTTTGATTATAATAGAGTTTTATATTTGGGGTCTTTCTCAAAACCAACATGCTATTATTAATTGTATTAGCGGGGAGGTGATGGAAGAAGCTAGTTTAACAGTAGCAACTATGAATTCTATTATAAAGTAACATTAGAGCATCTGACCAGGATTAATAGTGATACTCGGTCCTGGGATTAGGTAGTATTTTATTTCATGGATTTTAGGCCATCTGTTCCTCCCTCCTACATTTAGGTCTGCAGAACTATAAAAGCAGCTCTACCTTAGGGACTATAGAAAGGAATTAGGATTGTTCTGCTTTTCATTATCACAAGATTCAGTAACTCATTTCATTGTCAGGATAATCCTCTTTTACTCTTTCTTTTGCGCTTGCAGAGTATGCCAAAATGACAAATAAAATCCCAGATGTTACAGAGCTGATGAGGTCGCCACCTTTCCTTGAGTGTTGTGTTTAAGCTACTTGGGACACAGCATCAAAAGTGACAGGACCCTGATGCCCACACCCAATATTCATTATGATTCGTTAATGATTTGTATAGATGTCTACCAGCTGAACTTCCATTTCAACCCTCAGTGGCCATGAAAACGTTTTGCTTCTTCTCTAGCTTTTACTGACAAGGAATTAATTTCCCATTGTTTAAGCACTGGGAAGAGTTTATGATTATGATTTTTTCTAAAAGTCTTTTGGTACTTCTAAGAAGATTGTTACTCTATCTTATTATTTTAAGTAGTTAGAATTAAATTTATGTTATATTTTTCCTAAAATAAGTATTTTTAAGCATCAAAAGACATGACAACATTTTGGCAGACTCTTCCAATTAGTTGCATGAATTTTGGGGGGAAAATATAAATTGTATTGGTTTCTGTAAAACCCTTTGTATTTGAGAGAATACAATGCATTGTATTTTGAAGCTTTTACAACTTCCAATTTTTATTTGTAGATGGTTTCTTTTAGCCAATTAATTTCAATGTAAGAAAAAGAAATAATTTCGAAATACACGAGAGAGAACAATGGAATATACTGATTACAGCTCTATAGTTCAGTGTGTTTCATTCCTCAGTTCAAGACTTGAAAAAATGATTTCTATTCTTCCCTCTGTAATTTATCTTTCGCCTTCTATTCCGTTCTGTTTTAACTGTGAGATACCACAATCAGAGTTACTGGACAAATTGCAAAAGTAACCAATATAAAATATGATTACTAAGTTACTTTATGTAAAAAACAAAACCCAACTTTATTGAAAATAACTATAAATGTCTTAATTCATTTTCTTCTACTATTCTAACTACTGTCCTAGATTACTTCAGTGAATCGCAAACTGTGCTTGTAATAAACTCTGTGACCACTTAAAAATTAGAGAAGACTGATTACTCTGGGGAGGCAATGATGATGCTAGTAGTAGATTTTATTTGTTCTTTTGAGAAACAGCAGCAACAACAAATCCAGCCTATTGATTTTACTAAGTTGTAAAATACAACAGATATGATCTTGTCCTTCTGCTAGCCAGCATGAATCTGGGAATTCTTTAGAATATATTGGCTCCAAGAATTATTTCAGATGCACTATACAACTAAAAACTGACTCTAGCAAAATTTCACAATTTAGGCAATGCTGAATTGATCAATGCTGAACTGATTAACTGACAGGGACATTATAGTAGAGAAATACTTGGTTATTCTTGGAATACTTGGGGTTGTGGAACTTAAATATGGTTCCTTGCTTTTTCATTTAAAAGGTAAAGTCAGCAATTATAGTAGAACTGATTATACAAAAGTTTTAGTCAGAGGATCAGACATTATTCAGATCTACCAAGACCTGCCCCCAGTGGTGGGATTTAACCCATTTAGCAACCGGTTCACCAAAAACGTGAGTGTTTGTGCATGCATGTACTCACGGCTTCCGCGCATGTGTGGCTTCTGCCACGCAGTGAGGCTCGACTAAGCAACCTTTCAGGGCCTGATCCCCTCCATCTCTGCTCTCCAGGGTGGCTGCAAGATCTCCCCTGCAGCGCTTTCCGGATGGAACTTCTTACAGGTAAGAACAACCATCTGTTGCATTCCCAAACTGCTTCGGCCCTCCTGCACCACCACCCACAGCCCTTTGGCCTAGTGCAGCAGGTCGCAGGCCGAATAAATTGCTTCAGCCTGGGGGGGGGCATAGTTTGAGGCCAGAGGAGGTCGGCGGCATGCAGGTGGAGGCCCGGGGCAAGGCCGGAGCCAGGGAATAGTGCTGTTGTGGTCCCCCAGCAGCCTGCAGAGCTGGCAGCAGAGTTGGACAGTGAGGAGGCTGGGGAGGACAATGGGCCAGTCCTGAAGTCAAGGGAAGACCCAGATGAGGGCTCTGTATTGGAGGCAGAGATGGGGCCAGGGCCATCTGAGAGCGATGCGCAGACTCCGGAGCCTCCAGAGGTGGATAGCAGAGAGGCAGAGGAACAGGAGGAGCCTGTTCCTAGTGCACGCATGTGAAGAGCTGCCAGAAGGCAAGAGCAGCTAAAGCAAAAAGGACTCGGGAGTAAGGCCAGGAAATGATTGGCCCCTCCCATAAGGCTTAAAAGAGCAGCAATGACTCTTGGGATCTTTGTAGGAAAACAACGTTGCTACATTTGTTTCTTGTCAGCATCTCTTGCTTCTGAACTTGGCAAAATGGGGTTTTGCCAAAAAAAGCCTTTGACAGGGTGCCAAAGAAAACAAAGATTTATGATAAGGCTGAAGGACTATTTAATTTGGACTAAGCTGAGAATGAAGTAATTCTCAGCTGTTCTAATAAAATATGTTTGTTTAGGACTGATTGTGTCTGGCAATAACTACTTGGGCCTAGGTCACAACAGGTGCGTTCCCTGATCCAGCCAAGGGAAAGGACGAAGGCTCCGGGGCAAGGCCAGAGCCGGGGAATGGCACATTCCCCGACCCGGCCGAGGTGAAGGGCGAGTGGGCGGAGGCACGTGCCTGGGCCCCGACCCGAGGCAAAAGGTGAGCAGGTGGCATGCTTACCTTTGGTGAGCAGAGCGGGTGAGGCACGGAGGCGAAGCACAGAGGTTAGCTGGCCACATGGAGAGGGGAAGATAATATATAGGGCGGGGTGGGCGGGGTGGGGCTAACCGGTGGTTGATTTTGCCAGTTCTTTGAACTGTGCAAAATCTAATAACTGGTTCGCCCGAACTGATCCGAATTGGCTGAATCTCACCCCTGCCTGCCCCTCTTGCTCTGGATTCTGCTGGACTGAGTGGCAAGACCTGAACAGATGGAAGGAAGTCAGAACTGTCTTGAAGAAATACTACTTTGTCAAGCTTCCTGACCATATAGGGTTCCTCTCTATTCATGCTAACACCCTTCACATCTTCCTGCTCAATAAAAGGATGTTTTGCCTGTGGTTGAAAACACTGCATCATGCAACCCTACATTTGGGAACAGACTGTAATTAACAGGGAAATCACCCCATCACCTATTCAAAGGATCACATACTACATGCTACATTATCACTGTGGAATGTATAACTGAAAAGGCTGTTAAACAGCATTCAATCACTGACATTTCTGCCAGTTTTGATAATTTTATATCTGGAAAAAAACACACAAATGAGTACATCCGGATTTAGAATAAGCATAAACATTAAATAGAGCCATTTTGGAATAGTGGTTTTTTTCCAAATGTTCCAAGAAGCTTGAGCTATGATTAGTTTGTTGCTTTATAAATTATGATGGAGTCATTTTTAATTTTTTCCTCCAATGTACCAGAAAATTTGTAAAGTCCAGTTGCATCTCTCTGCTATTGGCCATCTTAAGAAAAGGAGAAGGGAGTAAAAGGATGAAGGAGAATCATAGTCACTAAAACACATATTCAGAACCAGATGGTACTACAGCTGGGTAGGGCAGGGTATTACTCCTAAATTAAGAGGCATTTCTAAATAGGCAATCCCATATATGTGAAAAAAAGAAGTTAGATTATATCTTCTTATGTGCCAAGCAGATACCATTACAGCTGGGTTTTTTTAAAAAATAAGGAAATTGGTATTGTTTGACTATGATTTGTGTGTACAGTATTATTTATTTTGTAAACTTTGCATGCATTACATTAAAATCTTAAATGTTTACATCTTAAATTGTAAATTATAAAATGTGAGGACTATATTCCTTATTTATTGACTGAATTTCAATGTATGTGCTTGTATATATTTATATTAAGCTTTTAAATACTAAAAGTATTTGCGTACTAAAAGTAAAGATCATGTTGCATGTATTGTTTGTTAAGCCCTGCTGAAAGATTGCTAAATATAGAAATGTGCATTAGGTTTGGGCACTAGAAGAAAGAAAACCCTCAAGTTAAGAGGTGAAAAGTACATTTTTATACTGCAGAAATAATTCATTGGCTACGTTAAAGTAAACCGCACAGTATATTGTATAATAGGCCTCTCAGGTTGTTTGTGTACTGAGAATGGATGAAACATTTAAATGATTGCTCTCAATATTTGCTACAGGAATTTTGAAATATTATCTCCTAGTTTGGCTTTCGGTAAGCATGGATCACCATCCCACTTATTTTTGTGACTTGAGTGAAAAAACAGGAGCTCGTATGAGTTTCTATTGTTCCTACAGCAGA